GTGTGTGTGTGTGTGTGTGTGTGTGTGAGAGAGAGAGAGAGAGAGAGAGAGAGAGAGAGAGAGAGAGAGAGAGAGAGAGAGAGAGAGCCTGCACAGTCTGCAAATGTCTAGCCACGGAGGCCGCACAGGCCTCAAATGCCCAGAGGCCCGAATCCATGGAAATCAGTCGAGCGCACGGCAGAAAGATGGGACCATCGCCAAATTTCTGATATGCCCCGGTAGCTCCTCTCCCATGGCCAGGGGAAAGGCCGAGACTGTCAGCAACGGCCACGTGGCCATTCTGGAAAGATGCGGGGTACCAGTAGGGGCATATGATAAATTTTTCTGATAGTTCTCAACGGCTATCCAGTAAGGGCATACTGGAGATTTGGGAGAGTTACCGGTAGGGGCATAGGAAACATGTTTCAGGCCCAACCGACGCCAGGGGTTTTCTGGAAACATCATTCGTTGTCAGAGGGGCGCGGCAAGGTAACTTGGCCATTAGACGGGCATACCGCAATTAATCGGATTTTCAGGGGCATCTCGAAATATTTCCCGTTTTTTTTACCTGAAGTTGGCACCTGCCCCTGTGCACCCGGTCACTGAGATGCTGTGTGCTGCAACTCTTTCTTTATCTCTCTCTCTCTCTCTCAATACAAAGAAACATAGGCCCTCAGAGTTGCGTTCCCCCCGGCCCATGATCTGAGCTGATACCAACGGGGTCAGCTCAGTCGGTGGACCCATAAGGCAAACCTGAGTTCGGATCCAGGTAGAACCAGATGAACGAAATTCCCCGAATTAAAAAAACAAATATATATATATCGTCACAAACAGAACTGCCCGGTAAACCGTAGGCAGAGAGAGAGAAGACAACAAACGAGGGGCTGTGACATATATATCGTCACAAACAGAACTGCCCGGTAAAACCGTAGGCAGAGAGAGAGAAGAGGATATATATTTTTAAATCCCGAATTACCTGCCGGTAGGGCCGGTCAGTTTCACGATGGTATCTGACCTGATTTCTGTTTTCCCTCGATTCGAATGCCTATTCGGTTTGCCTTTGTCCACGTCTGGCACGGCCGCACACTCTCAACTATACTGTACACGGCGAATCCCGTTGCTGCTACGCGTCACGGTAACGTCTCTCTTCTGCTGTCGCTCATGGGGGGAACCCCATCGCTGAGCGGCACAGTCGGCACTCTCAGCAGCATGGTCCGTATGCGGGAGTGTGCGCAGTCCAGGCGAACCCCATCGCCCCACGCCCCGGACTGCGCACACTACCGGGGAGCTGAGGGGGAGTAGCGATTGTGCCGAGAAGGTCAGCCTTGCAGGAGGGGCTATCGGGAGATTCGTTCCTCCGTTCTCGTCTCTTCAGCTCCTCATCATGTCTTGATTGTCCCTTTTCTTTGCCGAGTTCCGTATTTGCTGTTTCAGAAGTCCCTCCCTCCCTCCCTCGCTCGCTCCCTCCCTCCCTCCCTCCATCCATCCATCTATCTGTCTGTCCGTCTTGTCTTGTCTTGTCTTGTCTGCCTGTCTCTCTGTCTCGTCTTGTCTTGTCTTGTCTGGCTGTCTCTGTCTCTCTCTCTCTCTCTCTCTCTCTCTCTCTCTCTCTCTCTCTCTCTCTCTCTCTCTCTCTCTCTCTCTC